CTCCTAATTATATAAATTTAATTTTATCGATCAACAGAAGTTTATCAATATCAAATGTAATATATAAATCTCCTTAAATTGATCATCGATATTTCTTTAATTGATAATATATTTCATAACTGAAACATTAATGTATAAGACTTGATTTGTTAAACTACTCGACGAGTATATAATCAACATATTTCATACTCCGATGAATTATCCTTTACATGTCATTGCCTACGGTATGATCACTACACTTGACATCCATTCAAGATCGAACGTAAAAATCTTGATAGAACTTGCTTTGTATAGTACTTTACGATGTTCTATTGTCTATTTCGTAAAATGAAAATTTACTATTATGCACAATAGCAAAATTATGATTAATAGGAATATTTTAAACAAACCGACCTCCGGATGTCGCTTTTATTAAAAGTAATTAGATTAAATAAAAATTATCAACCTTATGAGGTCGGTATCACATTAAATTGTGAGATAAATAAAAAGTAGTCATGTTAATTAAATAATACTGACATAAGGAAGTCGGTATTTTATATTAATTTATTTTTTGAACTTGTATAAAACTGTCATCCGGAGGACGATTTATTTAAAGTTAATTGAAATATTAATTTAAAATTTTCTGGAAGTCACTATATAAATATTTTAATGATAATTAATTTAATTACATACTATTTAATTTTACCAACTTTTCGGAAGTCGGTATTATAATTTTTTTTGTTTTTTATTTTACACAAAACCGTCCTCCGGAAGAAGATTTAAATAAAATTAATTCAAAATATTCCTCAATTTTGTTTTTTATATTTAATGGAGAAAAAATATATTGTTATTTATTGAATTATTTAATACCGACATCAAGAGGTCAGTTTTTATTGTAATTCATTTTTTCCGGGGAAAATTCCGGCTGCCAGAGGTCGGTATTTGATTTTCCCGCTTTATTTTTCATAAGGAGTCGATTTTCTAAAGTTTTTTTTATTTTTTATTCTTTTTAACAATACCGACCTCCGGAGGTCGGAAATTACCGACTTCTATTTGAGGTCGGTAATTTTTAGGTCGGTATTCACTGTTTTTTTAGTAGTGCTAGGAAATTGATTATTATCGGGGAGGGTCAAAATTGGGTGTCAACAATTACAAGTAATCCTTAGTACTAGTTTAGTAGTTTCTATTCCTGACTGGTCTGCTTGGATTAGAGCTACGACTGGATCCGGTGGAGTGAACATGATAGTAGGTTGTGAGGACAGTGTTAGCTTAGTACCCGTTTTGCACAAAAAGTCTGCTACTTTTTTGGCTTGGCGGAAGTTATGGCGGACCACTGGATTCCCTAACTTCTTCATAAGCTTCTTGCAAGAAGTGATAGAGGATGCGTAAATAGATTGCGCGTGATTCAATTGAGCTATTATTATCTTGTAGGATTCCTGCAAAGTTAAAGTGGATAACAATAATTTCTGCCGTGTGTGATTTAAACCATTATTAAAAAAGATACCCTTATTTAAATAAGTAAATTGATATACTAAGAAAATCTTATTACATAGGTACAATTTTATTAAGGACTAGTTATTCCAACTTAATAGTATATATATTTTAAAAAATAAGTATTTGTATTAAAAAAATTTAGATGTCATATGAACATATTTTAAAAACTACATTTCATTTTTAGAACTTTTTTTTTATGTACATTAATTTTTATTTTATAAGGTGCATAAATAGATGATGTTCTTGTTGTTGGTTCTCATATTTGACTTCTCGATTGAATAAGTACATAAATGAAAGATAGTTATTTGACTTTCAATTTTTTTCATTGATAAACTAAAATTAAACATAAAAATATATTCAATCTGTGAAATCATATATATAATAACATGTTTACCTTACACCAACAAAGATATTGTTCATATTCTTGTAAATGATTTTCAATTTATTCAATCATGTGTGATCTATAATTGACGGAACTCATTATGTTGTAACAAAAGAATGTAAAAATGTATGAATACCATTTGCAATAATTAGTAATAACTAAGAAAACTTATAATGTCATAACTAAAGAATTAAAGTGCAATAGCTGAATTTCTTATTAATTTTTGTATTTACTTAAATAAATAGGACTTCTAATTAATTTTATTGTTTATTTAGACAATTAATTAGATTTTAATATAGTGTAGGGGAAAAATGACAATCCAAGTTTCCACCTTAAAGCTTTCCATGCATTGCAACTTGAACGTTTATTTCATATTACATAATATAAAATTTATTTTGCAAATGATAATTTTTAAATGATTCGCATAATTTTCTATTTTCTATTTTCTATGATTTTTTTTTTAATTTTAAAAATAAGAAATCAAAACTTTTAAAAATAATAATTTTTGAAGTTCAAAGATCTTGTCAACTTGATGATACTTTCGGGACATATATAACTTTAATTTAAATACAAACACCTACCCAGTTATATATATCTATATATAGATATTTTCACATAATAAAAATATTTATCTCAGAAAAATAGAAGTTAAATAAGAAAATAAAAATTAAACTAACACATCCTTCAATCCAGTGTCGTTATAAAATATAAATGTAATGAATTTTCATTCGGCTAAATTATAGAAATACAAAAAAAAAAGTAAATAAGTAAAATGAAAAGAAAATGTATATATAGTAGTAACTAAATATCACTGTAAATAAAGTCATTTTTATGTCTTGAGTATCAACAAAACAACTCGAACTCGTGACAATTCTCTAACTAATGAGAAGTTCAATAATTTTTGAAAAAAGATATTCAGAGCACATATCTGCATCACATGAGAAATTGTAAACAAAAACAAATGAATTTAGATTATTCCACGTTAGCTTCATATAGTGGAACATTACATACTACTGTATATATGAAGCAAAAAAAAGAAAACAATTATTATATCACTAAAAATTATTTTTCTCAAGTATTTGAGGTTCTGGAATATATCCACTTAGGATAAAATGATATACTTCATCAAAATAGTGGTACTTCAAATTCCACTGATCATCAAACTCACTCAACGACAATAAATCACATGAATTTTTTTTTTAAGTGTAAGAAGAAGAAGAGTAAAAGATTAAAAATGAGAGAAAATTCTTCTATTTATAGTCAATAAAGGGTAGTATGAACATGTGGTTATTGTGCCTTATCTGAAAATTCTGACCCTTCGAAACAGTGACAATTCTTTGGAAAAGTCACAATCCTTTGTAAAAGTCACAACTTATCGGAAAAGTCACAACCTTTTAAAAAAGTCACAACTCATCGAAAAAGTCAAAACTTATCAGCAAAGTCACAACTTTTCAATAGAATATATGCTACTCAAATAGATATACATAGGTGTTTTAAATAGGGTATTATAGTAATTTAAGATAATTTTGTTAAAACATATTTAACTTTTAAGAATAAGAAAATGTATATGTGGTAAGTACAAGCGGAAAACGTCGTATAATATGAATAGGAAGAAGTAGAAGATATCTATGATGCTTTAATTAAAACCTTATGTTTTATTATTCAAAATTCTATCTTATTATGTACTCCCTTTGTTCCTACTTACTTATCCACTTTTGAATTGACACACATATTAAGAAAACAATAATTGACATAATGAGTTTACCATTTTACCCTTATTAATTATGAAGTGGGTGAATTAAAAACTTAAGATATTCAAGAAGTTCTACATTTTTCAAAGTAATTAATTGAGCGTACAATAGGTAAAATAAATAAATTATTAGTTCTTTATTTGTCAAAATGGACAAGTAATTAGGGACAACTAAAAAAGGAAATGTGGACAAGTAACTAAGGACAAGGACAAGGGAGTAGTTATTAACTAAGTACTAATTCATTTTTTATTATATTTTTTCTTGAGAAAATGGCCAAATGCCCCCTCAATCTATTACCCCATTATCAACTACACACCAATACTTTACGGGAGTCCTATTACCCCCCTGAAATATTTTAAACTAAGATATTAACACCCTTAAAACGTCACCCCCAAATCTGTGTTGCCTAGTGTAATACACGCGCCTATTTTTTCAGAATAATAAAAAAATAATCATTCCAATTTTTCTCCACCATTCTTTCCTTAATAACCATTACCAAATCTCATCTTCATTCTCCTTCTTCCTAAATCTTCTTTCTTCTTTTTTCTTCACTATTCCCAGAAAATGTTCCTAGATGGCTCATTTTCTTCAGTCCACCTTCATCTCTACCACACCACACCACACCATATACACCAACCTTTGCCCTTTTTTTTTTAATGTCTTTCTGATCATCTATTTGCACAAAATTGATTGTTATTGAATTTGATAAGTTAGCTATTATCGTTATCTCTGAAGATAGTTATTTTTTCGTCGGTTCTCAATTGCATTTGTTGATGAATTTGAAAATGAATTTTTTCTTGAAAAATCTCAAATTCTAATACCCACTTTCAATTGCAATCAAGAAACTTCGATTTCTACTGTAAACGAAAAGATGTCTCCGATGAAAGTTGCAATTTTATCTTTCGAGGTCGAACTAAAAATATTTTCCGCCGAGGTGAAGAAACTGAAGTGTTCTTTTTTCTTTCTTTTATTGTTCTGTCTAAAATTAGGGGAAGATTTTAATGGTGTTGCTACTGAAAAGTATTTTGTGAATTAAAAATGAAAATATGAAAAGATAAATTCTTTCTTGTATTGATAGCCAAGGCAGCCGACTGAGTTAAAGAAGGGTTAGAGATGAGAGAGAGTGTTTGTATTTGTGTGTGTGATTTTAGTTGATTAATTTTATTAATTATTATATTATCTAATTAAGAATTGACAGTTGTTAAATTAATTAATTTTGACTTCCTTTTTTTCCTCACACTTGCTAATAGGAAAGTGAATACACTTACTGCATCATGCTACAAATTACAACCACGGGAAATATTGTCTCTTTCAAGTCCAAATGGAGATGGTTAGTCTAATGAAAAAAGTAAAAAGTTTTCAGTTTCACCAAGTCTGATGCCCATTTTAGCCAATCAGTTTTCCTCCCTAGTTAAGGAACGAATGAGGAATCTGCAATAATATAAATAAGTGAATATTTAACATTTTCAGAATTACACATTACTTACAACCCTCTTTTGAATCTACATTGATCTCCAAAACCAGCTTCAATTCTGTATCAACTCACTTTTCACATGGCTTCATTTTACGGCTTTTAAGTTTAATAAAAGAAGAGGCCTTGTACCTAAAACTCAAACCTCAAAAGTTAAATTCATGAGGCAAGAATTATCTAAGACCATATTTGGAGAGAACATAATATTTCCTTGACAGGCCCAAAAATATTTGTATCACAGCAAAATAATTGGTTCTAATAGCTTAACATCAACAGTCATGCTTCGCGTGGGAAGGGAGGGGGGATTCTTATCTACTTGACATATTATATCAGCAAAAGTTAGATTTATTGAACATCAGATTCATGACCTACATTTCTAAAGATGGGGCATTAGTAGTCTGATCTTCACAAAGACCAAAATTGTCGTGAAATTAAACTCACCAGTCTCTACCACATGCCTTCGCTATAATACAAACAAATTTTATTTTCTCCCACATAATACCACAATTCATGCAGTACAATAATACAGTAACAGTAATCAGAGCCAATCATAACACAACTTTTCAGCAGGACAGGAAAACAACTGATGCAGTAGGTGGTGAATTCCAACTTAATTATGCTTCAGTCGTGTAAAACTAAATGGATGACTATAAACATGAATAAAACTGAAAATACTCATATTTATATACCTTTTAGGAGTTCATTGGATGACCCAGAAGCACTGCCAATGAACATAGATTTTGGTCCATTTTGCTGGGCACAATCAACGATCCTTAAAGCCAATCAATCCCTGCAATTGGATCCATGGTAAAATGATTTCTTTCTATCATACCTTTTATCCACGAACAGAATTGAGATGGTTTTTTTGGTTCCCCATAATACAGTCATTGGCTCATATTGGCAAAATCACGAGGAACATTAATAAGAATGTCCTCTCATGTGATGATGTTGCCTACAACTTCCATCTTACTCTAAGATATTGTGCACTACCTAGGAAAACTATAAGAGAGCATGCAATTCAGCTGTGCCAATATAAGAAAATCGTAACATTCCACTATTGGTATTAAACCAGCACTACTTCAAATACCAGTAAGGGTTTGGTGATCCAGACAAAGGTGATGAAATTAGTTATCAACTCTTGCAAAGGCTTAATCACCACCCACCCATTGTCTGAAAGGTTCGGCACAGCAAGGTGAGAGCAAAAGTATGCTAAGGTCTAAAAATGGCCAAAACAATGAGAAAGGGGCAACGTTTCAAATGTCAAACAATTCTGTGAAGTGAAGCTTCCCATTAAAATTGCTAAAACTGCAGCTTTCATTTACCCTTTATAGCGGCGGTTCTCTGGGAACAACCTTTTACATAAATTTATTGACAGGCAGAAATAAATCACAACTGTTATAAGGAACCAACAAAAAATAAGTACCAAGATCTGAGCTTAAGATTCATCTTTCTTGAGCATATTCCAGGTCAACCTCTTTGAAATCCTCTGTATCATCTATATCATCTATGGGTATATCTTCACCGAGGTAATCGAAGGAACCTGAAAATGCATTAAAAGTAGGTAAAAGTCAACCAGTTATTTAGATAAACCATGCAGCTCTTCTAGAATATAAAATATACATCAAACAAAAAATAAAAGAACGAAAAGTTATGACTTCACTATACAAGATATCTCTATACTAGAAACATGTCAACTATACTTGATCAAATTGCATAGCATACCCGTTTAAAGTATAATGACATTGCTGACAAAAGAAAATGTGAGTGAATGCATGGTAACATACACAGTTTTCACAACAGAATATGTAATCGCAGGTCTCTGGCAGCCGCAGGTAATGCAATTTTAAACCAACAAAGGAAGTTTATGAAAGGTAATAAACTATGACTCACCTAAATAGTCGTAGAAGTTGTAAAAGGTAAAGGAACGCAGGGTAGAATCTATTACTCTTCAAAGGGATTACGTATAGAAATTTTGCATGTCATGTACTTGGAATATTCCTAAACTAACCAGAGCTTAAGCTTTAGCATCAGTTCATTCTTGCAATAGCTATTTGAATCCTTTGCGACCGTCAAATATATTACCTACTAAATTGTATCTAAGGTGGCTCTATATTATATCAGAGAAAAAAAAATCAGGAGAAGTGAAAATGTTCAATATTTTATGTCAGAGAATCATTTTTTCCAGAAGAAAATTGTAGACAACCAAATACTTCAAATGTTAGAACTTCTGGTTTTCTTCTCTCCATGTCATAATAAACAAAAAACAGTACATAAAACTTCAACCAGTGTCAGTTGAATACAGATAGCGGATCATGAATCATAAGGCGAAATAATTTTACGAACACTACAGAAAGAAAGTTTACATCCTGATATTTAGAAACCTGTGAAGGAAATGAAAAAGAGAAAGAATTAGCGTCCACACTGCTATAAAGTATCTTTCAATATACTACTAGATAAGAAAAAGAACTAGTACTACACTGAACAGTATTCATAGACTTCAAAATGGAGATAACAGTGAGCATCTACTGGACAAATTTTAATCTCACTTGTTGAGTAATTCAGGACAAACTCAGTTTTTATTCTAGATGATTATAACTGTAACGACCCTCAAATGAAATAGGATAATTAGAGCTTCACATGCGTGTTAGTAGTTGATAAACTTGTATAAAGGGTTGGCAAATTTCCCCCTTGGCTAATTAAAATGTTTGGGCATTTATTTTAAGTTGTTTTTATTATTTTAGGTATATTAGATCATTTAATTGAGGGCTATAACTATATTCTTCAAATTAGAAATTCCAAAGTCTTTCTTTCTATATTTTTCTCTAACTCAAGGAAGAAGAGGAGTTGGAGCTAGGGTTGAAGATTTTGAGTGCTTCTTCTTCAATTTTCGTGGGTTTTCAACTTAGAGGTATGGGGATCCTTTATCCTTGATTAGTCTTTCTTTCAAGGAGCCCAATCAAAAGGTTTTCAAGGTTTTTCAAATACACACAAAAACCTATTTCGATTCTAGCATGGGTTCTTGCATAAAAAGGTTTTAAATGATGATTTATATGGTTATTAATGATTATTAATGGTTTTTA